CCACCACCACCACCACCACCACCACCACTGCCATCATTATCAGCACCATCACCGCCACCCCCACCGACGTCCTCTGTTGCAGCATCCTCTCAGTCATCTGCATCATCATCATCTTCTTCTTCCTCTTCCCCTACTTCTTCCTCTACTTCCTCATCATCGACCTCATCATCATCAACGCACTCATGGTCAGATCGGCCGTCACAAAAGGCCCTGTCGGCCGAGTGTATCCATTGTTAAATCGATCATTACAGATGCCTCTTCGGCGGAGATGTTCCCCGTCTCCACAACAGCCTCCAAGACAGCGGCCTCGTTTGTTGTTCAATGGCATGATCACCGCGCCCCCTGCAAGAGTTAGAGATCTGCTCCGACGACATGCTCGCAACCGTATGGAACGACATCGTTGCTTTCAGTATACACTAGCGAGGAATAGTGCACATCGAGTCCGATGCCCGCAATGCGGCGATGATTTCTTCAGTGCTGCAGGCTTACGAGTGCACGAGACACGAGGTGCAGCTACTTGCGCAGCGTTTGCACGACTAGCAGCCGCCCAAAGCGCAAGTGAGGCTGATCAGCTTCCGATTCCCACATCTGGTCCACCCAGTTCTCACAAACCTGACCCGCCCCTCTCATCCACCTAGCGCCACTTGCTTCCCTGCCCCCGGTTGAAGATAATCTCTCTCCGGAGCACATACCGGAGCCAATTGGTCGAGACCACAACGAGTCTCCGCCACCTGGGCAACCTGCAGAATTGAACGAGGACCCCCCTGCCGTAAACGGATCCCCCACGCAACCTGCGGAATCAGACAATGTCATAGCGCTACAGCGAGGGCGCTGTGCGTACTATGCCATTAATGTATGTCTCCTTGCTTACAATTGTAATCCTTATACTGTTGCTGATTTCGCAGACGTTGTTCGCTGGATAGAAGAAGAGCACCGTGCCATCTGCCCAGACGACGACAGCGCTGCGCCTGGGGTGAACATAGAAGTCCTGGCTATGGCATTTATGGGTAGGCGACTGCAATTCCAGCCTGCTCCGCAAAACCACAAGCCAGGCACAGATCCGAATATTCGGGCATATATCTTATATCGTCCAGGTCACTTCAGTGCTCTTATCTTTGCAGATAATTCATGGACCCCATGGGACAATGGTGGTAGGGTGCACACAGTGGGAAATATTAACTCTTTCTATCACCAAATGCTGGAGGGTCACCCAGTCTGGCTCATCCATCAGGAACAGTATGTCGATGAGCATTTGCAAGCACTGCACCCCCCTACCACAAACAGTGAAAGGGCCTCTCCACAGGATGATGGCTGTGCCCTCCCGTTGTGTCGTCGCACAGGTACAGTTCAGTTGGCATGTACACGACATAGCCTCTGCTCCGAACACTATGAAGGGATGGTCGCTGCTAGCCTCTCACACCAAAATTGTGATCCCCAGTCCTGTGCTCATCCCCCCCACCCCCTGATTACTTGCCCAGCATGCTGTTGTGGCCTTGACCTTCCATACTAATGACATATCAGCAACATGCGATGTGTCGTCAATGCTTCCAGGAAGCTGTCATAGAAAGTATGCGTCTTTACTGCGTGGACTATCCCCGGTGCCATCACCCACCCTCCACATCCTCTCCTAGCATGTCCCACATGCGGCATTGGTCATACACCTACGGCAACTGCTGACGTATCTCCCTCTTTCTTGCCAGACGAACGGCGAACACAGCAGTCCGAGGAGGAAAATAGACTTCTATATGAGCCACCGACAGAGCGATGTGCTCATAGTTTATCACCACCAGGGCGGGCTGTTGCGGATCATATCCGGCAGCAGCTGAATGCCCTTGCGTTGGACCGATCCTCCCTGTCGTCGTCTGCCCACAGAGAAGGAATACAAGAAAATGCTCCATGCCGTTTTGTGATGACCCGCCGGAGATTCAACTAGCCTGTGGTTCACATGCCTTGTGCCGTGAGGATTATGAAGGTATAGTCCATGCGAGTTTTTGCTTCCATACGTACGATGACAGTCAGTACTGTACTCATGTACGGCACCCCGACATGTCATGTCCAATTTGTAGACGGGCTGGAACGGCAATGCCTCTATAATTGCGGTCGACGTGCCTCTGTGTTCTTAGCATGTACGCGCCACGTAGCCTGTGACATTTGTCTGCGCCGTGCCATTCGATGCAGCAACTGTGACTGTGAAAATTGGATGCGGTGCTTCCATAGCCCATACCCGAACCGGTCCTGTCCGGTCTGTAGGGGTGGCCACTCACAGCAGTGAATATTTAGAAATCTGTGAGACCCGTCATACACCTTTCCCCTGCTCTTGCATGTCACTCTATCCTGCCCTCCACATATTTCTTTCCTTCCCGTTGCCCCTACCTCCCCTGCCCTATACTCCTAGAGAACTCTGCCTTCTATCCCTTACCCTCCACCCTCCCCTCCACTCCCTTTGTACTACTAAGAAATACATATGAATGAGCGTCATTAAGAGTATAGACGATATGAAGATCAGAAATGAAATGAACGGAAGTATGAAGATGAAGGACGGACACAAAGGCTGTATAAGCTGAAGATCCACAGGAGCATACCTTCCCTTTTACTCTGCCTCCTGAAATAACGTGCAAGTGGGCCGTGGAGGCACACGGGGATGTGGGCAGCTGCCACTTAACCACAATCAACGTGGGCAGCCTTGTGCGTAAGAAGCACAGTAAAAGGGGAGCTGCAAGAACAATGAAAGGGGTACGCCAAGAACAACCAAAAAACTGTCTAATTAAAAAAATGCTTCGATATGTTGGACATCTCAAATGCCCTCGTTGTCTGCAATAGGATAAAGACTGCTTTGATTCTGAATCTATTCAGCTGGGTTCCCCAACCTCCGACAGTGCCTACACATGTTAACTTTAACGTGGTCACCTCTATTTCCCAATCCGCCACCCACTCTTTGGCTCTCACAGCGGTTTCATTGCATCACCTACCGTACTCATTTCTGATCTGGGTGCAGGCGCATCATCCAATATCCCTGACTGACATTGTATGTCTGGTAACACAACTCCCTTTGATTTCACACATTGACTAGCTACTGCTTTACTGACTCTTCAATGATGAATAAAGATCCCCACTTAATGCGGGCAAAGCTGTGCGGGCTTTTCTTGTGTTGACTCGTGTCTCATTCCATGCAGTTCCACTGTGTATCTATTTTGTCTGGTCACTGGTGAACTTTAAAGTTCTGTCAGTTCAGTGATGGTATAATAATTACTTCTTTGTTTAACTTGTGTTTTTTGGGTTACTGTGCTTCAGGGATCTTGTGAAGTGGTGTCAACGAGCAGCTGACCTTGCAGAGGGAGCGTTTTCTGGCCCAAGCCTACCTCCGCATGTGCGAGAGCATTTTTTTCTGGAGGTGTGTGGACAAGAAAGGAGGACAGGATAGGATTTTTTTCTTTCCATTTATTTTTCCTCCCTCAAAGCTTGGCTGCACTGTGATGGGAAAGTGGCGTGTATTTTAACCAGCATGTTATGTATATTTCTCGTTTTTTAAGTGCACACCTGTATGGTTGTCGCAGATCTGGTTTGACACGCACCAAGGAAGACTTCTTCGTGAATAAAAAATACCAAGAACTGAGATTTGTCATCAACTGAAAAAACAGACACTGCATTTTCTGGATTTTATTTTAGTGACTTTTTAAACCACTAGTCCGCCCGAGCCTATTTTCGACAAGTACTGGTCTACCTCCGAACTTTCAGGAGGCCGAGCCCGCCGTTGATAAATCTGATCAGCGGCCGTCGTTTCGTTTCAGCCTCCTGAAAGGTCGGAGGCCGAGTATTTTTTTGAACCGACAAAGGTACTAGTGGATTAAGTTTAACCGAAAATCAAATCCAGAGAAATTAACGTCTGGTTTTTAGAAAGTCATCCTATACGATGTGAAGTTTTTGACCAGCTTTCAGAGCCACAGATGCATTATTGTTCGCTCTCTCGCACGCGCACCGTAAAGGTGTTAATAAAGGTGTTAAAAACTCAAGCAACAAGAGGTGAGAGTTGACAGATTCCGTCAATGATTGTAAGGTTCGGGGTCTCTAACCGGTGGCCTTTCCCTTACCAAGGAAATGCTGTACCACCTGAGCTACGTGGGCTCACACGGAAAGTGGTTTGGACTCTGGAGACGATTGGACTGTAGGCCCGTGTAGTGTATAATATCTGGACTGCAGGCCCTTGTTATCGAACTGGGGTTCGACACTCTGGAATGTGGTTGGGCACTTGGCCTAGGGCCCAGCAGGAAGGAGTATTGATGCCAAAGATTATGGATTCAGGTTCCAAAACCAAGTTCAAGTTGAAAGTGAGTAAAGACAAGTTAATAGCTCAATTGACATTGATAAGGACATTCTTTGATCCACAACCAACAATTCAAGCAACATGGAAACCAGTCTTCGCAGGACTTCGGCTGGGTTCATCAAGAATGGTTTCGTCTAATCTTTTTTGACCCACAGCCCATGATTCAAGCAAGATGGAAACAGTCTTAGGCGAATTAGGGTGGGACACACACACAAAAATGAAACAAAAGAAACAAAAGAGGTTCAAAGTCTACACTTGTTGATAGCATATGAAGCTTTGTGCATGAATCGATAGCTACATGAATGAGGCCTAGGGAAAGGGGATCGGTGGAGTTCACTGGCTGATGCACTGGAGTTGGCTGCAGTGGTTCAGTTGACTGGGTGATGCGCTAGAATTGACTTGATGATGCGAGTAGAATCCAACAACCAAATTGCGTTGGCCTTGCTTGTGTTGTCCTACAGCATTATGGGGAATGCATGACAGTGTGGAGGGTTGAAAGGCCTCGATTCATGAATTTAATGAAGGCCCGCATTGGGGGGGGGGGGGGGGGAAGTGATCAACAGCGTGGAGCACGAGCCTCGTCAAATGCGTTCACTCTTATGTTTTCAGTGACTCGCTGCTTTCTCGCTAAATAGGACTAAGTTCTGACTGGCAAGTGCAGTTTTTTATGTCTGAGTGGTACGGTTGATCGGTTGCTATCCAGCATAAGTCGCTCATGTGCAACGTTGCAACCATTTGTTTCCAGACTTGAATTTAGTTTTGATCACAGAACACTTGCAGGTGACTTGATGTGTCCTTGAGATGTTTGTTTGCTTTTTTCTTATGTGGAATATCATGTCTGTGTTGGCACAGTGCGTAAATTGCTTTGTGGATATGATTCCAAAGATCAATGAGAGAGCGTGTTTCATGAAGGCAATTGCTGAGGAGTGGGGCGTGGCTGCAGATCGGGTCGACTACTACCTTAACATGCACAAGCCAGCAGTTCAGGCTGTTGCAAACTCTCTTCATGTTGGGAGAGGCCACATTCAAGCCAGAGATAGTAAGGTACAGTTTAGGTCCTATGCCACAGGAATGTGAGTTTGTATGGCACTCCACTTGTGTGGGAAGCATATGTGTACACGCATAAGTGTGTGCCAGTTGGTATCCTCTGGTCACTGAACTTCATTATGGTTCTGTCAACGAGTTGTGTTGTGTGCATTGAGTTCTGCGTACCTTGCACAGCAGTGAAAAGCCATATGGAAGACCACAATACTGGCCCGTTGGCAAAACATGGGCGCGTGCAACTAAGAAAGCATGTCCGTTTGCGTGGTGTGTGTGTGGGTGGCTGGTGGGCAGGCTAAGTTTGTCTGTGCAGATGGAAGCATGTATGGTGGGAATTCACCAGCCATCAGTCTTGCTTTTGTTATAATCTCTCTGTCTCTCTCTCTCTCTCTCTCTCTCTCTCTCTCTCTCAGTGTGTGTGTGTGTGTGTGTGTGTGTGTGGTTGTGTCGTGAGGCCTGCACTGACTGTGCCCCCCTGTCTTCAGTCTCTCTCTCGCTCAGGGGCACTTTGTTTTGCTGTCTAAGCCTGGCCTGCTCGTGTGCTGCAAAGCACTCTCTCTGTGTGTGCCCCATGGGTTAGCTGCATCTGAGAGAATCACTGCGCAGGAATGCTGAAGGGACTTGCCTGGTGGGTGCAGAAACAATCATGCTATGTGGCACAATTCTTCTTGTACAGTGTGGTGCAAATTTTGTGTGCGTGTGCCATGAAGGTGTGTTTCCAACCATTGTAATCATCCATTTTGTCATGTTGTTTGTTTGCAGAGACGCGTGAAGAGTGCAGCACAGTTGGTTTCATCTGCACGTTTTGCCCGAACTGGACATGTTATGAGACTCATGGAGAAGATTGTGAGGTGTATAGAGCACAGCGAACCTGTTCTTCTTGTCGGAGAGACTGGGACTGGCAAGACAGCAGTGGTGCAATATCTTGCACGGCAGTTGGACATGCCACTTACAGTTCTGGTAAGTTTCAGATGTGACGCATCTCTCCAGCTACTTTCCCATCTCTTGCTTGCGAATGACAACCTAGCTATCAGGTGGATGTGTACACTGCCGTGTATCCAGGCCGGTACTTCACTGATTTCTTTTTTTGTGCCCCAAGATCACGGATTCATATTGCCGACTTCCTTCGCTACATTGTTCCGTAACTTCCGTTCGATCAGAGGCTGGTCAGTGGCGCCTTCCGTTTGATCATGGAAGATCTCGAAGTTGTCAGAGATGCTTTTCAGAGTGGCCCCTTATGTGCATCCGTGTACTGTTTGGTGGTGCTCATCTGTCGTGGATTCTGTGAGCATTTCAGTTTTCTAAGCTAACTTAGGCAAGTGCATCTGGCGCCAAATCTTTTGACAGTCAAGGAAGTCCTTGTATCTGTAAATATTCTACTCAGACTGCTGCTGAAGCATATATATTTTTTTCTTCTTGCTCCAAATCCGTTCCGGGAAGCATCGGTCCTGTTACTTTTCCTCGGCAAGTCGTGAGAATGCGGTCTTCAGAAACTCACACGTCCTTCTGTTAGGCCGAAGGACCCCTGATGAGCATTGATTGCTCTGCAATGTGAAGGAAAGGGGCTTGAGACTTAGTCCTCTGCCCTCACTCTCCCCGTTCTGTTCATTGAATCCTCCCCGGCAAGTCATGAGAATACGGCCGTCAGACACTCGCACGTCCTTCTGTTAGGCTGAAGGACCCCTGATAAGCATTGATTGCTCTGCAAGGAGAAGGAAAGGAGTTTGGGACTTAGTCCTCTGCTCTCACTCTTCCCCGTCTGATCATTGAATCCTACGGTCTCCTCACAGGGAGCATTGAAGTTGCCTGTTGGTGTCTGAAGCATCCGTGAGCTGGAGGTCCAGATTGCGGTCACTGTTGGAGCATACAGGTTATCCCTTTTTTTTTAAATAGAAAAATTGTTCACGTTCATGGCAGGTCAGTTGGCATTTCAACTCAAGAGCGTAGGCATCTCAGGGTTAACGGCTGAGAGTATCCCTCACTGGTAGACCTTTACGACACCCAGTCGCACAGGCGTCACCCTCGGTCCCCCTCGAGGTGCTGCGGGCAGCCCTTCCGTTCTCATCAAGAACCACCTACCCCCAATGGGTACAAATTGTTGGTAGAAAGCGTGAGCTGTTATTATAACAAATTATAAAGTTTATGATTTCAACCAAGAATTTGATTTCCCGGCTGTGCTAATTCCATGCAAATTAGTCCAGAGAAGCATGTGCCCATTACTCCAGCAATTGCAATAAAGATTAGATTTATATCCTTGTGGTTTGTGGGAAACAGCCATCTCTGTGCAAAATTTGTCATATCAGTTGTTCCCCATCTTTCAGTAATAACAAGAGGATAAGAGCAGGGGGGGAAAAAAACAAAAGATGCACACATTGCAATGAGAACGAATCGGAAATCCCTTCCAGGGAGCTGGGTGGGGCCGCGGGCGGGGAGGGTGTCTAACACAAAGACCGAGCATTTTGCCCGTAGCCCGTAGCCTCACCTCTCATCTACTTCCCCAACTCCCCATCCTGTAGCAGCAGCGGCTATGGCCAACACGCTCTCACACACCATACACAACCCACTCACGCTCAGACTCGCACTCGTGTTGGTCATAGACCTTGGCAACATGTGTTCCCTGGATAGGCTGAGGAGTAGTGGTAAGTAGATAGTGAAAGATGAAATTGAGAGAAGAAAGAAAAAAAAAAGAAACTTGTTCCTTCCAAGCGAGTCCTCGCTCCAGCACTCACCAAAAGTGCAAAATGAGAATGCATCTTCCCCTAGAGCTCCAACACTCACCGAAAGTGCAAAATGAGAATGCATCAACACTCACCAAAAGTGCGAAATGAGAATGTATCTTCCCCTAAGGCTCCAACACTCGCCAAAAGTGCAAAATGAGTATGCATCTTCCCCTAGAGCACGGGGAAATACATCGGTGTATTTTTTCACACATTGTCTTTCGTGCATGGAAAGATACACCCTGATATTGTTTGGCTTTTGTTCATGTGGTGAGGTGCCCCAACGAATCTACATGTGGCACAGCACCCCCCCCCCCCCCCCCCCGAAAAAAAAAAAAAAAAACAAAAAAAAAAAAAAAAAACCCCCCCCCCCCCCCCCCCCCCCCCCAAAGAAAAAAAAAAAGCAATGTATGTGCGCGACCCTAAACACACACGACCTCTCTCCACTACTCTCGACATGCACAAATGACAAAAGTCGTGGCGGTGTATCTTTCCATGTTCTAGCGGAAGATTCACTCCACGCACCATGAAACAGATGCAGCAATAGGAAAAGGGCCGCTCCACTACTCTCGCATGCACAAACGACAAAAATCATGCCGCTGTAGGAAAAGATTCACTCTCATTTTGAGCAGTGGAGCCAGGCTAACATTGTACCAGTGTGAAACAAAACAACTGTAGCGGAAGGAAAAGGGCAAAACGTCACGTGCCGCGTGCTGCTGCGTGCTGCTATGTACTGCTATGTACTTGTTTTCGAGCGTGAGCAGCGTGCCAACACGCCTCCCCAGGTCCACCGACATGTGCCCAGCGGAAAGTTTTCCCAACACTCGAAGGCGGATCTCACGTGGGAACATCACGCGAGGCCCGCTATTTGCTTAAAGAGAGGAAGAGAAATGCTTTGTTGAACTAAATTTGACTGATGTTTTTGCGCCATCTTTATCGCTTGAGGTGCTGCAAGCAGCCCTTCTGTTCTCATCAAGAACCACCTACCCCCAACGGGGGTACAAGTTATTGGGCCATCCCGCCAAGGGGTTGCTGACCCTAGTAGGCGAATGCACTGTAGTCCAGCTGCTTTGTTGCAGACAGCAGGCACAGATCTAATCTCAGGCAGCCAACCGTAGATGTGCCAGAGTGGTGCTAGCTGCAACCTTATCCTGGCACAAGACAGCGGGCTCAGTACCCCCCTAGCCGACCGGAGCACAATCCATCTAGGTTCGGACAGGGAGCTGGAAGCCTGCCACTAAGCATCCACTAGGGCATGGCAGGGAGTATACATATTGCCCTCTTAATGATTATTTTTGTACATGTGAATGCTTCAGCCCCAGTGGATCACGTGTGATCTCTATGCACTTTTTTAAAGTTTTTGTCCGCATGGTTTTGCATGCAATTTTCCTAATGTTCGAGTGTTCAGAGTGGATGCTAAATTGCCAATTTACTACTGCATTGAAATGCTCAGAGAATCACAGAAACTCATTTTTGATGGAACTGATTCTTGGTTTGTTTTGTTGTTGGCAGAACATGAGTCAACAATCTGACAGCGCAGATTTCCTTGGGGGGTTCAAGCCTGTGGAAACACGTGCCATATGCCTCCCTCTCTTCGATGTCTTCAGTCGGATTTTCCGCTCTACATTTCCAACTCAGGTAATGGTCCCGCGTGAATCTGTCTAGTTTTTTGAGTCCTCACCCTCGACGGAATGGGAATGTGTACCTGTTAAATGTCCTGCTGCACGATGTTTCAAACATCCGCTCTACCGTTATATGTGTGCGGACTCACGGAGAGTTTATGTTTTGCGGAGAGTTTGTGTTTTGTCATGTCACAGAGTTGGCTTTTCACTGTGGCTTTTTGTTTGGGTAAGGAGGGAGCAAGGATATTGTGATTCTGGCAAAGAGGTCCAGTTCTGACACCCCATAAACCAACTGTTCTTACGGGTACTACATCGTAACTGGAATGTGTCAGAGAAGAGCTGTTGGTATCATTAATCCAGTGGGAGAGTAAGGGAACTGAAATTCTGACATACACTCAGCCTGTTGTCCTTGTGTGTACTCCCCGGCAAATGAATCACGAGAGGAAGGATGTATCCAGTCCAACAGTGGAAGGTTTGTCGTTTTTGTTTTTGGCTTCCGCAGCAAAATAGGGAATTCCTATCAAGGGTGCAGAAGTTGGCAGAAAAACGCAAGTGGGCTCAGCTGCTGCAGGCTTTCAGGATGGCCGTCGGAAGGGTCTCAAAACTTTTTGGAAGACCCTTAACCTTGGAATTTGACGAGGACGAGTCTGTGGAAAGAAGCCCCAAGAGGAAACGACCTCTGGATGATAAGGTGACGTCTCTCAAGGTGCTCACCTTTGGAACTTTTTGGGTTGCATAATCCTTGATTGGTCGTTATTGCTCGAACAATTTATAAATTTTGTTTCACTGGCTCATTGAGGATGTCCTGTATTTGGTCCTGATGTGTTCAAATCGATACAGAGAAGATTAGCATGAGACAGAGAAGATTTGCATGGCCCTTGTGCAAGGATGGGGGGGGGGGAAGGAAAAAAGGATACTACACTTTTACAGTAGCTCAAGAACATACTTCTGCCAGTCTGTACGACTGTTTGCATGTCTCAGCAATTGCGTGTGTACATTGTGCAGACACTGGGTGTCGCTCCACCGTTGTTGATTCTACTCACAGATTGAGAGTAAGTACAGAGTAGTCGGACTCTCCAAACTCTGCTTTGTACCCTCTCTCCACCTACTCTGGAAATACCTCCCATTCTTTTTTCTTTTTCCTGTTCTTCTGAACAGATGACGACGATGATAAGAATTGCCAACTGGGCCCCAGTCTGGTCGACTCTCGAAGTTTGATACTGGTTTAGGGGTCTGACAGAGGTCCCTCAATTTTCAAGTGTGTACAGGCTCAGGACTGTCAGTTTTTCTCCAGACCTCTTGGAGGATTCTTTCTGACGACTTTTCATCATTTTGTTTCAAGTTGCGAATCAAGATGTGTGGAGAAAGAGCCTCACACTCGAAAACCATGGAACCAAGAGTGGTGGAGCGAGACCCATTGTTCTTTGAAGTATTTGTTAAACCACCAGTACACCTGGGCCTGCGGGCACCTCGCCGCGCACCAAGGTTTTCGGAACCGCCAGCGGCGCTCTTTTTCCCATTTGTGGCTTGTGCCGCAACCCGTTGTGGTCCGGTAGCCCGAGCCGGACAAGCTGCTTTTTTAGCAAGGCTGGGGGTGTGTACCGTTTAATGGCTGCTCCAGACTGGCTTTCCCTGTCAGTTGCGTTCTATAATCTTTTCCTATACTTCTGTTGGTTTTCTTCTGTAACATTTTCCTATTTTTCCTGTGCTACCAGCTGGGTGCCCTGGTTTGGGGGGGGGTTCACCTGGATACCGACCCGGGCTGGCCGGGGAGGGGTCTGAACAGGCCCACTCTTTAAACCACCACTATGCAATGACTTGCTGATTCTGCAGCCTGCGACCCGTCGACCCGAGGCTGTAATATAGATAGGTTATATCTGCAAATTTGTTTGGCTGGAAAATTCATGAGGGATATATCTGTAAATTTTGGGAAAATTGCAGGCGCAGACTAACACGAATTTCCTAAAGCTACCCTAACTGCGAATAGCAGACCCAGGCTACCACTAGGACAGACAGGCCGTGAGGCCTATGCTGATAGACAGCTGCTATAGTAAAAGGGCCTTTACCCGAAATAGGCCTCAGGCCTTGTAAAAGTAAAGCAGCACAGACCTTGTAAAAGTAAAGCATTGTGAAAGGGTATCTCGCCAGGGCTCAGAAACGTGAAAGTAGGTCAAAGGTCAAGTTCTCTATCAACAGGCACATCTAAATCTAAGGCAAAGGGCATTGTCAAAGGACTTACCTGTTCACCAGGAGATGTGTATGTCATGTCTGTTTGGGTAAGAGTGTGTCTGTACGTGCAGACAGTGTACCTGTTCGTGCAAGGGAAAGTGTCTGTTCAGGCAGTAAATATGTCTGTTCGTTTAGATTTGTGCCTGTCCGAAAGTAAAGTCAATAGGCACAGTCCCAGTTCTGGTCTAAGTCAGGGGGTCAGTCCAGATCCAGACTTAAGTCCAAAATCCAGGCCGAAGTGCCTCAGCAGCAGTTGAACCTCATTGGGACTATACTGGGACACATGCAATGCAGGGTCTGGGACAATGGGAGAGGCTGAATTGAGCCAATGCAGACCCAGCGAGGAGTGGCCAGCACTATAAAGGAAGCTGCCATCCTCATTCCTCGCCAGATCTCCACTGGCTGCAATGCGTGGAAGTGCTGGTGCACTTGTGCGCTGAGTCAGAAGGAGCAGCGCTGGAGGTAGAAGATGCGCTGAATACAGGAGGAAGCCTGTACGCTGGATGTGATGCAGCCATAGCTGCCCAGCGAGTTAGCATTAGTAGTAGAGGGTTAGAATGTAGCTATGAGTAGTATTCAGAGTAGATCCTCATGAGTGAAGAGTGTGTATGCATCGTAAGAGGAAGGGACTGAGGCTGAGAGTGCTCATTCGAGCTTCGGCTATGGAAGATACTTACCTGGGTTGGATGTGACCTGCAGGGGTGGCGCTGATGAGTAGTGACCACATTGATGACTTGGAGACTATCTGCAGGGGTAGCACTGATTCACTGGAAGGCATGTTGATGAGTTGGCAAGATATTGGTGTTGCGCTGATGAGCGCTGGACTCAGGGGAACTTTGAAACACTTTGTATTCATATTTCTGATAATATAAGCTGTGAAACTCGGTCCTCTTCTTCTCTACCTTTGTCTATGGTGTGAGATTACTATTCATTGTGTGGGAGTACGATGCATGACATGTACACACTTGCGTGAGATGGTCCCCAGGACCCATGCAATAGCCTATAGCCGGGTAGGAGAAGGCCCTAGAGGCCGAAATAGAATCGGTACCGGTCGGTCCAGTCAGTCCTGTCTAGGTCGAGTCTAGGCTAGGGTAGTACTATTAATGGATTGTAGAAGTCTGTTCAGGGCTTTTGGCAACTGTTATGAACCTGGTTGTTTGTTGTCAGAAGACCAACACTCGCTCACATAGACTTCCAGGTATGCCCATACATACACAGAAGGAAGGGGAGAGGATGGAAGTCTATGTGAGCGAGTGTTGGTCTTCTGACAAAAAAACACCAGGTTCATAACAACTACCTCCGGGCCTGTTTTTGCCGAGCCTGATCTTCACTGCACACCAAGTTTTGCCGAGCCTGGGGTCCGTTTTGTTTCTTTTCTGGTACTCTTCTGAAAGAAAGCAAAAAAAAGCACGGCCGGACTTAGATAAATGACGCACTTACAACCACAAATAAGAAAATCGAAAAAGCAAACACCCCTTTGGACGTGATACCAAGGTAAATACCTACCCCAAAGTTTGGTGTGAGTATGCCCTGAGTTAAGGGTGTTACGGCAGGGGTGTCAGGTCCATGGAAGGAAAAAAAAATAAAAAAAATTGAAACTGAGTTTAGGGCGTTACGGCAGGGGTGTGTTATGAACATGATTGTCTGTTGAAGTTTTATCAACACTCACTCGCAAGAACTCCTGTACACGCCCATACATGGACAGAAGGAAGGGGAGAGGTAGTGGAGTATCACACCGCCCAATAGGAAGAAACGCAGCGGAAGACTCAGAGGAGCGAAGTGACAGAACACACAAACTGTGAATTCCCTCCACACAGGTCCCAACAACCATTCATAGAAGACAGCCGAGTGATCACAGCCAGAAATCTATGAAGAGATGACAACTCAAACACAGTATTATAACTGTTTATTAAACTCAGAGCATCGTTTCCACTGAATAACCTCAGAACCCTGTTGCGCTACCCTCAGAGGGGTAGCGCCTCAACCCCAATACCCTGAACAGCTAAAAATAGCACCGGAACCCCAGGTAACACCCAGCGCCACCCTGACATCCAACTCAGTGGCCTGCGCCCAAGTGAAACAGGCTCCCAGAGCCAATCGCCATCCAGATGATGAAGAAGAAGCTCAGCGCCAACAGTCCCTGATGAAGATGAAGTCCAGACAATGATATCTCTGAGAAGATGCAGCTATGGCTGCATCACCACTGGGACCGTACTCCTGAGGAGGGTCAGCGGTGCACCACGTGCTCCAACGCATCAGACCTCTGATAGCCCAGACCGCTTTGACTCCCAGAGAGTCAGAGCAGACAGCGTTGCCCCCAGTCTGGTCAGCGCTCCGAAGGTCTGGCTATGTCCGCTGTCTCCACCCCCGGAATCAGCAACCACAACCTGATACCGTGTGCGCAGCAGCTTCCACCACGAAGTGTCAACTGCCAAAAGCCCAGGACCGATGTCCCCATCCTATCTATACCCTAGCACTAGCCTAGACCGACCTAGACCGGACTGACTGACCGACCGGTACCGTTTCAGTTTCGGCCTCTAGGGCCTCTCCCTACCCGGCTATAGGCTATAGGACCGTCTATCAGCATAGGCCCATAGGGCCTGTCCGTCCTAGGGGTAGCCCGGGTCTGCTATTCGCAGTTAGGGTAGCTGTAGGAAAATCGAGTTAGTACAAAGGCCCATATTTCTATATTTACAGATATGTCCCTCACGAATTTCCCATACAGGCAGGTCTCTCGGTTAGTCCTCAGCCAAACAAAATTACGAAACTGTCCCTACCTAGAGTACAGCCTCGTCAGAGATAGGCTACAGGCGACCTGGAACCAGCAAGTCATTGCAGGTGTCAGGTCGCCGATGAAAGTGGTAAACTCATTGCCGTGTCAGACGAGTAATCTCTGACCTTGTTACTTCACTATATGCGGGAAAGTCCTAACCTATTTATTGAGTGAATTTCAATATACAATGGATAATCTGCAGGAAACCAACATTGCGGACATCTGCAATGTCCCACTTGACTACTCCAAAGTGGGCAATTCATTCGGTGACTTGCACGGTCACCCTCACTAAACCAACAAGAATCTGGACTACGATTCACATTGAGTCTGACTGAGATTGGATTGACTTTTTGTCTTTTTTTGTTTCGTTTTTGTTTTCGAAGTTTTACGTGTAGAAGCAAATTCTCCAAATTTACGACCAACGCCGTGCCCTCCTCCACAAAGTGGCAGCAGCCCGTGGACTGCGCCGTGCATCCCTGGCAGGGCACCAAAACAAGAAAAAAAGAAAGAAAACAAGAACACGTACACCGAAAACCTGAAACTGGCCACAATAGTAACATACTTTCTTGTGAGTATTGGTGTGAGCACAACTTCGTGCAAGGCCTTCCCCGACTTGGTCTTTTGTTTTACTTTTTGTTCGAATGGCTTATAAGGTCCGGTCTGCCTTGTGAAACGGTTTTCACCTTTTAGCAGTAGCGGATGCAGTACCCAGGGTTCGATCCCTAGACCTCACCCTACCCATGTATAGTATCTGTGTAGACCCCGGGAATTGAACCTGTGACCTGTGTATTCGTAAGCAGTTGGTAGGCCTGTCGTAGGTCCATAGGCAGCAGGGGTTCGATCTGTAGGTCTATAGCGTAGGAGTCTTAGTGAGTTCCGGAAGCTTAGCTGTAGACCTTCTAGAAGGTAGGCAAGTGGGCCAGTGGTCAAGTGGTGAGGCAAGTGGTGGACTAAACCGCAGTGCAACAGCAGTACAACGTCGGTAGGATAGCGGTGAGTCCACAGTCAG